ATTGTGGGTCAAGGAGACTTTAATAGTGCTTTGGAAACAGATGGATGGGAACACACTGGAAGGTGTCCAGAGTGACCACTTGGGGCTTAGTGCTCCAGCATTTCTTCATCATCTGGATTGAAATAGGCAGAAGTTCTTTACTTTAGAGTGCATGGCTGGAGTGGAAAGGTGATCAGAATGTGAAAAGGACCATTCATATAATGGTTTGAAAAATGCTGCACCAAAACCCCAGTTGTGTAAAGACTGCACAAAGAAAGTATAAGTATTCAAAAATTCAGAACACTTCCAGAACATTCATATTTCCCTGGATTTAAGGTCTGCTTAAGTTTGAAAAATGGGAAGATCAAACGTTAGTTTTTGGGAAAAATAAGCCTAGCTTTTACCATGTGTACACAAATGATATACATGTGGGCTTGATTCTGTTTCATCAAGTATTTCTATAAACCTTGGTATGATGCCTGCATTGAATTGGGAGCCCAGGGTGATAAAGATAAACAAAGTTGGTGAGTTGCAGTGTGACTTTTCAAAAGGAAAAAATTCCTCCTTAGTATACTCTTCTCTTTACTCTATTTTTATCATATGCACCTAGTCAAGGTGGCCTAGGATTTGACCACCTGTGACTCCACTCCTGCCTGTCTCCATTATGCATTAGATTTGTTGCCATTCTAAACACTCAACCCACGGGACACCTTCTAAATGTATGTGATGACCCATATCTTTGCCAAAAGCTTTAGATAACTCGTTAAAAAACGTGCTTATATGTGCTCTTCTTTTAGCGACAGTTAAGGGGGAGGTTTCTGGTGCTGGAGCAGATAGTAGCAAGTGTAACAAAGGCACAGAAATAATGGTCTTTTTACATGATTGTGTTTTTTACTCTAAGAAGAAAACTGAACAGCAATAATAATTTAGGAATTTTGTAAAACCTAAAAATTTATGAACTGCTTCTATACAGATCAACTCTTTTTTCCTTAAAATCACTCATTTTACAGTTGAAAAATGTGAAAATTAGAGTTTCAATCACTTACTTAAACCCCAAAACTGATGTGTATGGTGTCAGAAGAAAACCTTGACTGATTTTCTTGCTCCAACTCTAGGGCTCAGAACTCATTATACAAAAATGTGATAATAACAAACAGTGTAAATTCTTTGATGTCCAGCTTCATACTGAAATTGAAATTGCAAATAAATGGTAATGGTTGCACTAAGAATCACTCTCAAAGGTAGCTCTGTACCCTTAAGATTTGCCTGCTCGTTTTCAAGGATGCTACCTGTGCCCACAGAAGTGCTTGCACTAACTTCCTGCCATATTTTCCTGCATGTCCTGCCCTGGTCGGGTGTTAATATTTGCCTTATTCCTAAATCCTAATTCTTCATATACCTCCTTTGGAATAACATTAAATGGGATATTCCACTTAAATTTTCATTTCCAATTAGGATCTGAATTTTTTTCCTTTGTTGATTTTATTTATTTATTTTTATTTACATATGACAGCAGAATGCATTACCATTCTTATTATACATATAGAGCAAAACTGTTCATATCTCTGGTTGTATACAAAGTATATTCACACCAATTCAAGTCATCATACATGTACTTTGGATAATGATGTCCATCTCATTCCACCATCATTTCTAACCCTATTCCCCTCCCTTGCCCTCCCACCACTCTGCCCTATCTAGAGTTCATTTATTCCTCCCCATGCTCCCCCTCTCTATCCCACTATGAATCAGTCTCCTTATATCAGAGAAAACATTTGGCATTTGATTCACTTAGCATTATCTTCTCTAACTCCATCCATTTACCTACAAATGCCATGATTTTTTCTCTTTTACTGCTGAATTAATATTCCATTGTGTATATATGCAACATTTTTTAATCCATTAATCTATTGAAGGGCATCTAGGTTGGTTCCACAGTTTAGCTATTGTGAATTGTGCTATTAACATTGATGTGGCTGTGTCCTTCTAGTGTGCTGTTTTTAAGTCCTTTGGGTATAGACTGAGGAGAGGGATAGCTGGGTCAAATGGTGGTTCTATTCCAAGTTTTTCAAAGAATCTCCAAACTGCTTTCCAAATTGGCTGCACCAATTTTCAGTCCCACCAGCAGTGTATGAGTGTACCTTTTTCCCCCCGCATCCTTGCCAACACTTATTGTTGCTTATTCATAATAGCTGCCATTCTGACTAGAGTAAGATGAAGTCTTAGAGTGGTTTTAATTTGCATTTTTCTAATTGCTAGAGATGATGAGCATTTTTTCATATATTTGTTGATTGTTTATCATCTTCTGAGAAGTGTCTGTTCATAGGCTCTGAATATTTTATATATGATTTCCCATTTTCTATAACGCTATTCCTGGCTCAGACCCCAAGACTTCAGTTCTTTTACAATATCCTGGACTTTTGCTGTTTTCAGGAGGGAGTGTTAAACAATTACAAAGTGGAATAGAAACCTAGGATTTCATTATTTATTAAATGAAAGTGTTATTTTTCTCATATGTAAATAACAACAGAGTAATTATACGTGGCTGACAAAATTTCCTATGATAATGAGTAAGGTTTGCCCCATTAACAGTCCCACATCAAGGACAGGCTTGGCTTTGCATTAGGAAACAATGCATAGTTCTGTGGGAAGTTTACTGAGCCAGCAGCCAGGAGACCATAGTTCTGGCTAAGTGTCCTGATCTACCTCTAACTCTGTGTGATCCTTGGGACAATTATTTCATTATCACAGGCTTCAGTTACCTTGTTAAATAAAAGCAGCACACTGAATCATTTCTAAGCAGCTTTAACATCTGTCTCTAAATTTACAAATTTCGTATTTCTGTGATGTATGTTAGAAGTAGGTCATATCACTCCTACCTATATGACAATATACATTTATACAAAATTCTTTGCCTCCTATATTTTCCCACCCCTTATTGTGAGGTTTGAAATCTTATACACAGAATTTATTCTTTGAATGTTCCAGGGTCTCTTAGCATCTAAGGATAATATTGTGTTTATTAGTATAAGGCTAGACTTAGAAATAAAAGGTTTGGGATTATTTTGATCAATTTGTTTTTTAAAGAAAACTAGTAAAATCTGCACCAAATTTTAATTTTTTTGTATCTTTTAACCTAATCTTAGAAGAAAAATTGAGACTTATATGATATCTTATAACTTATCTTTGGGTTGTTCTAAGTGTATCCCCCAAAAGTTCATGTGTTGAAGATCTGATCCGCAGTGCAGCAATGTTGGGAAAGAGTGGGAACTTTAAGAGGTGCAGCACAGGGGGAGCTCCGGAGGTCAACTGGAGTATGCCCCCAGAATGGGCTGGAACCCCTGTCTGTCCCTGGTTGTGAGTTTTGAGGGGTGAAATCTTTCTCACACTGATGTTCTCATTCCCTGCATCTGCCATGGGGCTGTCAGTAGATCCAATAGCTACACTATTTAAACTTCTAGTCTCCAAAACTTTTCTTTTAAAGTGAGCATATCTCAGGTATTTCATTACAGTAATGCAAAACAATGTAGGACATTTTGTAAATTGGATCTTTATCACTTCGATCCCTATATTTGGCAGTGAATAAACTCTGTTCTAGCAATGCAGAGACAAGGCCATAGAAGAGCCTATTTTCCAACACCCAGGTTCATTGTTAAGTCCTGTGCTGCTACCAGATAAGAACTATGCAATGTTGTCATTGTTTTCCTTCACCTTCTCTAGTCTCTTGTTTCTCCAATTCTTCTTTTTTATTGAGACATGATTCATACATCATGAAAATCCACATTTAAAAGTATATACTCCAGTGTTTTTTAGTATATTCACAAATTTTTGAAAACATCACCACTGTCTAATCCCAGAAAAATTTCATCTCTCCAGAAAACAGTCAATACCCATTTATCTGCACAGCCACCCCTTGCCCTTGACATCCATTTCTTTTCATCTCTGGATTTTGTATTCTGGACATTTCATATTAAATGCAATCAAACAACATGTGGCTCTTGTGTCTGTCTTTTTCCACTTAGCATATGTTCCTAGGTTTCTCCATATTGTCATGAGTCAATAATTTATTCCTTTTTGTGGATGGGTAAAATTAAATTGTGTGACCAGACCGTGTGTTCTTTATCTATTCATCAGTTAAGAGCTAATTGAGTCGTTTGCACAGTATGAATAATAATGCTATGAAAATATATTTATTTTTTTTGTGTGGACATGTTTCATTTCTCTTAGGCATATACCTAAAAGTAGGATTATCAGATCATGCATTAACTGCATCTTTACAAGAATGACTACTAAAAAGTGCTGGTGAGAATGTAGAGAAACTGTGATACTCACATCTTGCTAGTGAAAACATAAAATGATACAGCTGTGGAAAGTTCCTCACAGGGTTAAATATACGATTACATAGTAGTACTTTTTTCTACAGCTTATTCCTGAGGTTTTTGTATCTGAGGTTTTGATTAATAAGCTACAGGTAAAATTATTTGTATTGGGCAAAGTGGTAGCATCCTGTTAAGTTTATGGAACAATCTTTGGCTGTAGAACAGATTCTTGTACAGGCGTGGTGGTCCCCTTCAAAACATTTCATGTACCTGTGTTTGCTGTGGTTGCATTTGATTTTGACTTCCAGGGATAAAGTCTACTTTATCCAGAGATAAAGTCTACTTTATTTACATGCTAAGGGTCACTAAAATTAGGAATGGCTAAGTGCTTCAATTTGCAAAAAACATTATTATCAGAGTTTGGACTTGGCTGCAGTCTTTAGTGATTCTGGCCCAAAGTGGGACTCACAGCTCAGCAGTTGTTTTCTCTGGAGTGCAAATTGGTTAGAAAGGAAATCTTGTTTCTTGGTTTTGTACAATAAAGATTTATACTAATGCTCCTGAAATTATGTGCAGTCACCTCTCTCCGGTTCTTTACAGAGGACCTGTATTCCAAGTGGAGTGGAGTTTATTTTGCATTTGCTGATTCATTTTTCAACCTTTCTCTTTTTTACATTTCTTTTTTTTTTTCCTTCCCTGCAGGATGTTTTTACCCCAGAATGCAAATTTAAGGAATCTGTCTTTGAAAACTACTATGTGATTTATTCTTCCACACTGTATCGCCAGCAAGAATCGGGCCGAGCATGGTTTCTGGGACTCAATAAAGAAGGTCAAATTATGAAGGGAAACAGAGTGAAGAAAACCAAGCCCTCTTCACATTTTGTACCAAAACCTATTGAAGGTATGAAACTAACTACTTTAATTTTTTGGACCCTGATATGTGTGTTGAAAACAATTCCACTCTTTGCTAATTCTCTAGGGTCTATCTATGAAGCAACAGATGAGAACAAAATATCAGAGTACACATGAGTACCTTTTCCCATCAATAAAGAAAGAAAAAAAAAAGAATAAAGAATCCTATCAATCTGGGCATAGTGGTGTGCACCTATGGTCCTAGTGACTCAGGAAGCTTGAAAGGAGGATTGAAAGTTCAATGCTAGGTCAGTCTCAGCAGTTTAGTGAGGCTCTAAGAAACTATTTGAGACCATGTCTTAAATAAAATATTAAAAATTAAAAAAGGTCTAAGGATATTGCTCCATGGTTAAGCATACCTGGGTTCAATCTTTAGAACCAAAAAGAAAAAGAAGGAAAAAAGAAACCTACCACACTCCTTTGGTATTTAGGAAAAAAAATATGTTGAACATGGTATTTTAATTTTTTGGAATATACCCTTGAAAAAAATCAATAATATTATTACAGTGCTTTAAAGTTTGCAAAAGGTTTTTAGAGATACATTTATGTACTAATTCCTACATTTCTATAAGCAAATATAACAACATAGGGTATTAATTTTTCTTTGGTTTTTAAGGAAAGAAAATAGTGCAATATTTTCTGTGATCACCATTAAATTGTATCTTTCCCAATGGAGTCTATCACCTCTTTCCTTGATCCTTTGATATAGTATCCACTTTTCAAAGTGAGGAGTGTAATAAATCCAATTTGGTCAACTATGATTTTCCTTAAAAGTTCCATAATTAGGTGTGTTGCAACTCTTAGTTTGATTTGCTAAACCATAAAATATCGTATAAGGCTCAGTCAGTGGAGCAGAATCCACAAGGCTTGCTGCAGAGTATATAGTAGATATGACTGCAACAGTCAACAAATATCTGTTAAGTCAATATTGTATTCAAAGTGCTGGGTGGAATGTGACATTAAAGCTCCTACTCCCTCTCAGATCTCTCCTTGCATCTTGTATCTTTAGGCCTACAAAACTAAACTTTCCTTTTTCTTGCAATGGATCATCACTATTATGGACTTCATACTGTCCATGCCCTGCTCCAGTGTCCACCCACTCATCTCATCTGCCAGAAAAATGCCAATCAACCCTTGAAAAAATAATTCAAGAATCTCTACTTATGTGGCAGTCTCCCTGGCTTTCTTCAGGAATTAAGCCTTCTGGGGCTGGGATGCAGTTCAGTAGCAAAGTGTCTGCCTTGCATTTGCAAAGCCTTGGGTTCGACCCCCAGTTCCAAAAAAGACCAAAAAAAAAAAAAAGGAAAAAAAAATTAAGCTTTCTGCCTTCCAATCATTGTATATATTTCTTTCCCATACAAATGATCCTATTGCATAAAATTTACTTATTGCCCCTCCATTGCCTCTTGTTCATAATTAGCTCATTCTCTGAATGAACAAAACCTATTTTATTTTTTTCTTATACCCCTGTGTCTTGTATAATATCTGTCATGTCATAAAGAGATATTCAGTCAGTAGTTGAGAACTGGATAAGTGAACATGTGAATGAACAAATGAACAAGTAGATAAATATAAAGACAAAGTATAAAGAACTACATGCTCCAGAGAATGTTATAATATTCATGGAGATATGAAATATGTTCACTATGGTATAGTGGAAAAAAATTTATTTCATGCTGTGGGAATTGATACTGGGATTTAGAGAAAGAACTACGACTTCCACTAAAAGGAAGATATTAATGAGAAAATTATATTCAAGGATATCTTTAGCACAAAGCCAGGTTCACAGAATCTGAGATGAGAGAAGAGGAACACTCAGAGAGAAACACTCCAGGAGCAGTGAGAAGAAGCAGGAAGTGCCTGCCTTGTAAGGTCAGGCAGAAGGTACTTGAGAAGTTGATCATGTTCCCATGGGAAAATGTATTGATTCTTAAGAATCATTTTTGACAAATTATGCTTTCAACTCTTGCATCTTTTTTTGCACTTAAGCTGATATTTTTGTACTTATGAAAGCAGTGCATGGTCATTAACAATTTTTGGAAAATTCAAGGAAGCATGATGACAAAGATTCATGTTTTCTTTATTCCTTATATGGGTAATACATTTTATACTGAACCCCTCCTACCAACCCCAGCAAAAGGAAAAAAAAAACCTATAACCAATTCTCGTGATTGTATCAGACATCTGCACTTTGGTCCTGGGTGACCATGTGTACATATGCAAAAAAAAAAAATTATGATGATTATGTTTCTAGTTCCAAAATTGTTAAGTCTGTTTATCACTGCATTTTGATACAGATGTGGAAAGAGACAACCCGACATTCCTAACCATGAGAATTAGGTGCTTTGCATAACACACAGCTTACATCAATAGCAGCTTAATAATACAATTTCTCTTATAAGCCAAGTCTAGAGACCAGCTGTCCAGGGATGGTATGAGGCTTCCAAATTGTTAGGAAGCTTGGTGCATCCAGGTTTTAGTGCCTCTCTTTCTAGTGTGTTGTATAGAACTGTGTGCTGCACCATTGCCACAAGCAGGCACACTGATCCTGGGTGTGCCCTTGTCCCCAACCAGCATCTTTATCATAATCAGAAGGTGGAGGAAGAATGAAAGAAGACAAAATCAAAAGTCTGTGCTTGTTTTCTTTTAAAAAATGACCTCCAATATCTGCCATATGATATACATACAGTCCACAACCTAGACAGGCAGTCAGATACAAGCAGAGGGAAGCTAGGCATGTAGCCTCGGTTCTGGATGGCTACATACCAAATATGTATTCAGTTATTTTAGAACAATGGTGGAATTAAGTAACAACTTCTGCTTTAGTTTTGCATCATTTGATGAAGCATCAGAATATCGCTGATTTCCTAATGTTCTTATTTACATCTTTTAGTTGATTATTTTATTTTTTTCTTATTTACCAATGCTTTATAATGAATTTCATCTTGTTCTGGGAAAGAATTAAGTTTATTCTAAATCAGATTCACTAATACTGGGATTTACTTCCAAGGTCCTTTTTTTTTTATTTGTGGCAATGAAAACTTAGGTTTGAAGTATAAAGAATGTGATGAGAAGAATCACTTTTGAAGATAAAAGGCTTAATTGATTTAGACCAAAGATCTTTTTAAAAAATTAATTAATTAATTAATTCTAATTAGATATATAACAGCAGAATGCATTTTGATTCATTGTATGCAATTACAGTACAACTTTTCATTTTTCTGGTTGTACTTGATGTAGTGTTGCACCATATCTGCAGTCATACATATACCTAGGGTAATGATATCCATCTCATTCCACCATCTTTCCTGCCCCCATGGCCTCTCCCCTCCCTTCCCTCCCCTTTGCCCAATCAAAGTCTCTTCATTCTTCCCATGCCCCCCTTCTCATTATGGACCAGCATTCAATTATCAGAACATTCGGTCTTTGGTTGTATGGGATTGGCTTACTGCATTTAGCATGATAGTCTCCAACTCCATCCATTTACTTGAAAATGCCATAATGTTTATTCTGTTTTAATGTTGAGTAATATTTCATTGTGTAAATATACCACAGTTTCTTTAGAAGGACATCTAGATTGATTCCACCATTTAGCTATTGTGAATTGAGCTGCTATAAACATTGATATGGCTGCATCATTTTAGTATGCTGCTTTTATGTCCTTTGGGTATAGATTGAGGAGTGGGATAGCTGGGTCAAATGGTGGTTCTATTCTAAGTTTTCTAAGTATTCTCCATACTGCATTACAGATTGGTTATACTGATTTGTAGTCCCATCCTCGATGTATGAGTGTGCCTTTCCCTCCACATCCTTGCCAACGCTTAATGTTGTTTGTATTTTCGATAACTGCCATTCTGACTGGTGTGAGATGAAATCTTAAGAGTAGTTTTGATTTGCATTTCTCTAATTACTAGAGACTCTGAACATTTTTTCATATATTTGTTGATCAATTTTATATATTCTAAGAAGTGTCTGTTCAGCTCATTACCCCATTTATTGATTGGATTGTTTATTTTTTTTTGGTGTTAAGTTTTTTGAGTTCTTTATATATCCTAGAGATTAGTGCTCTATCTGATACACAAGTGGCAAAAAATTGCTCTCAAAATCTAGGCTCTCTTCACCTCATTGATTGTTTCTTTTGCTTAGAAGAAGGTTTTAAGTTTGAATCCATCCCATTTATTGATTCTTGGTTTTATTTCTTGCTCTGTAGGAGTCTTGTTAAGGAAGTCAGGGCCTAATCTGACATGATGAAGATTTGGGCTTACATTTTCCTCTATTGTATGCAGGGTCTCTGTAAGACCAAAGATCTTTTAATTCTCTGTAAATATCTCTGCCATTTGTCTTGGAGAACAAGGTTCAATTTTGTGAACAATATTAGTTACCAGTTATGTAAATGCTTATTTTTCAGAAGTACTCCTCTAAATATGCATCAATTACTGTCTTAATTTTCATTCCATTTCTACAAAGTAGCTTCAACTATTGTGTCCACTTACAAAAGCTGAAAATGAAGCACAGAGACATTAAGCAACTTTTCCTAAATCATGCAGCTAGGCAGAGCCAGAATTCAAGCAAAAGCATTCAGACCTTAGAATGAAGTGCTTTACCTCCATGAAGACCGGGGAGAGGGGCTACAGTAGTCTGAGAAAGGTTCTGGGAGTAACTTAAATTTAGCATCATGGGACCTAGGAAATCCTAGAGTAAGTGCCTACTAATTGCTTCTCTTTATTTTGATCTGAAATATACCGTCTCCTTAGAAGTAAGAGTCCCCAGAGATTAATGGAGACCTATGCTCTCATAATTTACTTGATACACATAAAATTTATTATTAAAAAAGTTCTTTTATAACTTATATGTACTTTGATATCATCATCATCATACAAAAAATATGAACAATGACCCAATGATTTTCTATGCAGATTCATTTGATATAATTGAATTTCCAATATTATGAAATATGTTTGAATTTCTGTTAGGCAATATTCTGTTTAG